ACGGCCATTTCAAGCGCGCGAAACGCACGAATTACAAAACTGTTTTTATAAAAAAAATTGTAGATTATTTATTATATAATATTTTGGCATCAAAATTGTCAAAAATATTCTTCTTTTATTAGGTTACACATTAAATAAAAAAAAAACGCAAGAAATATTTTATGAAAGTAGATATAATTTTAATAATTGAAAGGTGTGGATGGGACAAAAAAAAGATTTATCTTGTCCCGTCCACCCCTGTCAATTATTGAAATTATCTCTACTTTTATAAAATATTTTTGCGATTTTTTTTATTTAATGTATAGCCTAATAATAGAAGAATATATTTGACAATTTTGATGCAAAAATAATATATAATAAATTACCTACAATTTTTTTTATAAAAACAGTTTTGTGATTTGTCCCGTCCATCTGCTTGAAATGGCCGTAAAGTCATTCTCGTGAATGCATTATATTTCGTATAATAATATACTATTATTTAACGAATTAGATGTACAAAAATATTAATGGAATTTCCATTAATACCTATAGGCTATAGGTAGCTGCAATTTGATAACACTATGTAACAAAATTTGATTTTTGTTTTGTTTATATATTATATTATCAATATTTTGGGGGCCAAAAAACTATTTAATACATTTAAAAAATGTAGTGATAAGTTTTTATTTTTTAAGGGGTATTTATAATATAATCAAACCCAGTTTTATCAAAAACAAAATAAATATTGACAAGAAATGGCAAGAAATTCAACTCAGAATTATTATTTTAACAAAACTTACAATCTAGAAAAATAAGTTAGGTTTTAAATCTTGGCTCGAAAAATGAATTTTAATACGACTTTTTCTTTTATATGATGCATTTTCTTCCCGAAGTATATTTCAAACATAGTCATGATGGGTGCACCCATCATTGTCGCATCCCACCTTCCTTGTTATTACTTTTCCATTGCCCTAATAACTTGATGGAATCTTTCTTCATATTCTTCGCTGACATCTCCCAGACTTTCACGAAAAAAGTCAAGATGCGAATGCAAATAGTGTATACACTATAGTACCTATAGGTACTTTCAACGACATGCAGAATCCCATTTCTTTAAAACTTCCTAATAAAACTTTGACAAGGTCAGTATAATTTTCTCTTTTGTGGTTACCAAGGAAACCTTTAATTTTAAATCTCACGTTAACTTTTGAGTTAAAAAAATATGTATTATAATCCAATTTTTGTTACATGTTGTCCACAAAGAAAGTTTAATGGCCAAAATCTTACGTGAGGGGTAGTGGGGGTCTACCACATCTCACCAAATCTTACCAAGGGGGAGGGAGGGGTCTAAATTATCAGAAAAATGCCTCACGTAATTAATTGATGTCCCCTAATGACACTCAAAGCCATCAACACGATCTGACGGTTCTCGTTGAAAATTTGACAGTTTGAAAAAATAAATGTGTTACGTAATCGGGGGCACTACGATTTGTGTAATAAAATCCAGATAAACAAATATCATGTTACATAGTGTAATAGATTTCAAGTTTTAATTCGAAGAATCGCCAAAAGAGATTAAATTTTGAGAAAAATAAAGCAAAAAACTTAAATTAAGAGATCGATTTATTTTTTCGGAAACTGCGGTTTGTGATTTTTATATAATAAGACTAGACGCAAATTACTTCTTAAAATCGTTAATTTTGCCTCAATCTGTGGTCACGTGGCAGTACGGAGATGAAGTAGTTTTTTATACTCCGTCGTCAAAGAAGTTTTCGTTTATCTAATATTTGAATGAGGAATCTTTCTGCGATGCTCCATTAGCTGTAAATACTTACTATACTTACAATTAAATATTCCCGTCTACTTCAAAAGCTTAAATTTGATTCCCATCATCATGTATATTATCCTTTAATCTTGCCTAATGCATTTTCGGACAAAAAGTGACTGGGTACCTACTTGTCGATTCATGATAGTAAACATTTTTCTTAATGTAGCAATAATCCGCTTTATGGAGACAACATCTTCGATAAGTTTTCAATGCGATTACCGGGAGGCAGCATTGCGGTAATATCGTAATTGCCCATATGGCGTACGCCTCGCACGGGCCGCTGTCGTCCTTTTGTATGTAAAATACACACGACTTTTTGTATACACTGGCAATCTTATCGTCGATCGCTTCATTATGGCACAACGATCGCGGTCACGTGTGCGCCACGCGACTTTCGGAATCATTGAGGGCAAAATGGGTGTACAAGACTCTCTCGTTGCATCCTTATCGTAAACACTTTAGCCGTTCGACAAACACATGCGACGTCAAATCAAAGGATAAGTTTGAAATATTATTTTTTTATTGTTTATGTTTTGCATAATCTTCTTTACGTGTTAATATACGGGAAAACCCTTTGTCAAAGCACAAAGTCCCACGAGCAGCTGTTGTCAAATATTTTGTATTCAGGGTAAAGTCTCATGGGATAAAAAAGTTTTATTTGATTATTTTTGTAGTTTAAAAAACTAAATAAATTAAATCGTTTGCTAGATCATTAGTTTTTTAAGGAGCTCTTGAAGATCCAAAAATGATAAATAGTAGCAATTTTAAAGTTTACATGAATTGAGTTAAGTTTGAAAAAAGGTAGTAGGGGAGACCGGGGCAGCGAGGCCCACCGGGGTAATAAGGACCACCGGTCAACCCCACAGTACGTTTTAATTTGGCGCAAAATTTCACGTTAGTAGGTTGCCAAAACTTCATGTCAGTGCTGTGTTAATGGCGTCCGACCATAAGCAGCTGTTTGAAAGTGCTACAAAGAAATCAAAATTTCATGGTATGTTGATCTAACTTTTTTATCGCAATATTGTCCATTCCTGAGAAACTACTGGGGAATTAAAGAAAACTTAGTTTATAACAGTGATCCATATTAAATGTGCTTCAAACCTTACCTTTTGGTTTACCAATGCTATTGCATGGAAAAATGTTACAAGGTGATTTCCTGTCTAGCCACATTTGAGGTAATGAGGACCACTTAATTTGGGGCAAGCAGGACCGTGGATGATTTATGTATTTATTGTGAATCTTCGTACAAAGAGAGTAAAGTTGGAGGAGTGGGTCCAGTGCACAAGTTGTGAGCAATGGGCCCACGAAGAATGTGCGGGGGTAGAAGAAGATGACTTTTTCATTTGCGAGCTGTGCAAATAATTTTTAAATTTTCAATTTGTGCAGGACGCAACAGAATTTGCTTTTTTTGTTTTTATTTATTTAATTTATTTAATAAATTCGTTAAAAACTATCAAAAGGTATTATTATTAATCCGTGCAGGTGTTTCAAATGGTGGACCTTCTTACCCCGATACCCGGTGCATGGAGGACCAATGTAAAAGTGGTTTGTTTATTTTTAACAAAAAATGTTACAAATTTTTTTTCGGTTTTGTACTAAATTAGTTGGACCATATTATAAAGGTTTTCAAAAAAAATGCTTATGTCTATACTTTCATATATGGCTGAAATATCCTCGCTGCTCCAGTCTCCCCTACCAATTGGAACTGTTAAGGATTGTTTTTTTGAGTAAATCCATATAAACTTCGATATTTGAAGAAATTGCTATTGTCCCTAATAATTTGGCAACCCACTGTATATCATATAAAGAATCCTCATCATGATAGGGGTAAAATAATAGCAGTTAAAAGTCTGCTAGGGGTCACAGAGAGCCAAATCTGGAGAATACGAATAACCATTGCTTAATAAAGACGCGAAATCCAATTTTTCCATACTTTCTTAAAAATGCAAGAGTTCTTTATTATTGTGGCGCCAACATTTAAAAACTCGAAGGCTTATCAATATGCCCTCGAATGCTTAAAAAATAATAAATAATTTTAGAAGTGGCTGGCTGCTATTTTTTTAAACCTCATTAAACTTTTGAAATAATAATATTAAACTAATGAATTACTGGAATGATATAAGCCCAGCTTGATACAAGTCAAGATTTATGATATTTTTAAATTAACGTTTTCACTACTTACTTTGTTTTTTTTTTTTAATTTTGAGCCATTTTTATTGATTTCTTCTATCTACACCCCCAGAATGGAAAGAGCAAAATAAATAAATATAAATTATTTTCATTGTTAAAATTTGTAGATGAAAATGACTCGTCAATATGGCTTTTAGGTAGACAACTTAAATTTAAAACGTTAACAAAAAAAAACTTTTTATTTAATTAAGTGTGCGTAAAAAAATCCAATACATTTTCTAAAAAATACACTGCAGGAAAAATCTGATAAAACAATTTAAACAAGAGTCAAGTTGATGGAGTGAAAAGGGGAAAGTTTAACGCGTTTAAGTTCTTAAATTTAATTTTAGTCAATCATCTAACTTGAAGATGGTTTGAGGTAAAATTTAATTTGGCGCTCGTCGAATCTACAATGAGAAAGACATATTTGAACGTGTCGTCGAGAGAGACATTATCTTCCGTTTGTTTCTTATTGCATAATTCATTTAATTATTACGCTGCGCGATTTGGAATCGTAATATTTTGCCGGTATCGGTTTGGCTCACTACTCCAACGTAAGTTGTTTGTAGTAGTTGCACGAAAGTGGTTGAACAACACATTGGGTGTTAATTTCATTTACCCTTATTTATCTTACCTTTTCAGGCCTAATACTATTAGTTGTGCTTTGCCACTTTACAGAAATTTACTTTCGCCTAAACCTCTAAATTTTACTTATTCCATTTTACTTATTTTCGTATTTTACTAACCATTTCATTTAAATAAATAAGGGTGTTATCAATTTGTTTTCAATAAAAACAAAATAAAAATTAGTTGGGCTGGATGAACGAAGCAAGTATAAATTGAGGAGGGTTATAAAACAATAGAAAGCTGTTCTGTAATGTCATTGTAAGCCCTAATATTGAAATGTCGGACCCCTAATATTCCCCTTACCCAAGTGACATTTCGAAAAAATAACGGTAATACATTTACAATTTATTTGCATAAAATGTATGCAAGGCTACATATATTTGTGTTTTTTACTTACTTGCTTTGTAACAGAATCGATAAGTCGAACGAAGATGTCTTGTTCTTGGCGCACTCCTATAACAAAAAGGAAAATATTAATATTTAAGTAAATTATATAAAAGTAATGTGAATTATATAAAATGGGTTTTCTGCAAAATTAGCACTTAATGTTTAAAATCTGATTGTCAAAAGGTGTTTCTCAAGGAACTGTTTTTAGGTATATTATTATTTATTTTAGTGTCCCAGAAGTTGCTCACTACCGATCCACAGACCACAGGAATTACAGAAAATTGTTTTTCCTTCATTATTAAAAAATATAAGAGCGTAAACTTTTAGTTTTTAAACTTAAAAAATAGTTTTATCTTGTTTATATTATACAATTCAATTCATAACACTTCTGTTATACATTAGATATTTTTTTAGTGAGTATTTTGATATGTATCTTGTGTTTGGAGAATGCTTAGAAAATCCTTTAGCCTGCTGTGTGTCAGTATAATCATAATATTTGTTTAGTTTTTTTATGAATTTAATCTATAGATTAACCCAACCATATATGGTTTTATTAGACCCGTACAAAGACTTTCTATTTGTTTCTGTCCAGTCTGATCTTAAAGTAACAAATTTATTTTTACACTTTCTAATATTGATATTTGTGGTCCTGATGATTAAGAATTAAACTTTCACTATTTAAGGCATAATTTTTTTCCTGAGTGACTTGAGATCATAAACCCTCAGGGTGGTTTGCGACATTTGGGACACGCTGTATATGCTTAAAAAATTTGTAAAACTAACTTTTAGGCGTAATACAAAAATTGTTTTTAAAAGCCGAGCTAAGTGTTCGAGTTTGCGACATTTTGTCAGGTTTGATGTTTGACATATGTTATATTATAGGTTATGTAAATGTAATTATTTTATTGTAACCTGTATACAGGTTATAAGTTTACATTTTCTTTGCTGATTTCGAGCGATAGATGGATTTGCTCTTCCTATATAATTTCAATGTTTTTCAATATTGTACGGCGGTGTAAAATAATTTTACTTTTGAGCTGTGTACAAATATGAAAACTTTCTATATAGACTTATAAGTGTGTTATAATGTGAAAATTGTTATACGCTTAAAAAAACTTTTTGATCAAAGTTAAATGTACTAAAATATTCTAAAACAGTCTAAAAATGTCTTAAAACAATCTAAAAACTTTTTAAAAATATAAACTCTCTAAAATGTCTTTAAGTCTTTAAACAATTGTAATAGTCATAAAACATAAATTTATGCTAAAACTTTAACAAAATACTTAGGTATACTATAAAAAGGGTATGCAAAAATAAAAATTGCAAACAAAACCATTAAAAGTGTATTTTAGTATACAGTTCATGAAATTTGCATAATTTTTTAAATTTAAAATTCGCACCATTAGTGTGTACTTAACGTCGATTTTCAAACATTTAAATACTTTATAGAATATTGTCATCGAATGTTCTCAAAAATTGTTTAAGAAACAACAAAAATTAAACCGTTATATTCTTGATATTATAATTTCAATTTTTTTACATTCTTTTACTTTATTGATTCTTTTGTTTAAATAAATTTATGTACAATGTAGGTAGGTATAAGATTTTCATAAAGCATACAAGTGAGAATGTGGGCTCTATATCTCATTTGCTACCACACACCTCAGTCAGTTCTTTCCCTGAGGAGCACTCTTCCTGTCCTTATTTGTAATAAAATAACTCCTCAAACGCTCTCCTAGGAGTAAAAAGATGGCGAACCCTACGGCTTTTCCTACGCCCTTGTCTTTGTTCTGCGCTTATCGAGGCTCTTGTCTGCTTTCTTGCAGGAGCTCGTTCTGTACTAGCCTCTATCAAAATAGTTTGACATGCCATAAACTTTGGCAATATCATCTTAATGATTCATGTGATGCGCATGAAGCAAGATACCACAGGAAATGACTTAATTTTACATACCAACTTTTGTTTTCCAAACTTTCCGTAAAACTTCCACACGTATCTATACTGCCGCCTCTACTTAAGATTCTTGAAAGAAGGTTTTAAATCTCAATCGACATCTAACGAAAAAGTAAATTTAAAGTTACTGAACCTACTGATAATTTTCGATGTTTTAAAAAAAAGTTCAAACCCACGAAACCCATAAGTTTAGTCAATATACAGGGTGATTAGAGAAGAATCAAAAAGTAAATCAAATACGCAAATTTAATTTTGGTAAACCTAAATTTTTTTAAGAAAGCGTTCCACGAATTATTACAAGAAGATATTTTAAGAACAAGAAGTAAGTGAGAGGAAGTTATAGGCAATTGTATAAGTATACGAGAAAGGAGAGATTTGGAAAGAGAAAAATCTGGCCATCCTTGTTCCACTTTATATTGCCATATTTGTGTTTTAAGGCAAAAAACGAATAAGGTCTTCCTAAAAACACGAACAAAACTTACATATATATGAATAAAAAGGGCAATTCTCTGCAATGTTAATGTTATGTTGAATCACTAAAACTCTTAAATTAAAATTCGTCAATTTGCGGTTAAACTTTGTTAATTCTTATTCTGTAGCTAATACAACTTTGATTTAAGACTATGTTTTCTTAAAATAAGCAGAATATTTTTCAAAAAACTATCGACATATTTTTGTAGTAAAAAATCGTATTTTTAATTTGAAAAGATAAAGTGTTAAAGTAAAACCATGATATTCTTAACATAAACCCTATCGGTTCATATATGAAATTCATTTTAATTTTTACAGTTAAAATATAAAGCTGTTGTTCTCCAAATGATTATAATACTGTTCTTTCTCCCTTCACAGGGCTGCTTTTTCTGTAACTTGTTTGTTTGTTTCGTGTTTTTAATAGAAACTTTCTATCTTGGGTAGAGTGCAAAACCTGCAAAAAAATTGCAGAAAATTATTCTTGGTAACCTAACACTGAATGAAGACCCAAGTTATGTCCAATTAAACAAACGACAACAAAATATACCACAATTTCACCACCGTTAATTACACCGAGAACTTGCACCGGTATACCGTCATGTAAAGACGAAGGGGATGGTACCTTAGCGCATGCGTGGGTTTATTTAAAACAAACATAATCTTGAATCAAATATATTTACTTGATTTAAAAATTGAGAATTATTAAAGAAACCATATAACTATTCAAAATAAAAATTATATTCTATCTGAACAAATACATTTTGTCGTTGAAAATTTTCGCCCGAAAAAATCGTTTTCTTTTCATTCAAACATTTTCTTATTCTTATGTTAAGTTGTTAAAAATTATTCCAAATAAAACCGTTATGTTCCAAGTAAAAGCATAGTCTTAATTAGAACTTATTGTGTTTTGAATGAAGTAAACATTTTAAAAACAATAATTCTTCTTGAAATGAAATTTTATTTTTCTATGTGTATAATCATAAAAATATATTACGTAATGTCTTAAAATTTTTATAAAAACTGCTTAATTATAAATAATTATTACTGTTTGTCATTGTATTTTTTTAATTTAATTAGGTTAGTCTATACATTGTTCTAAAAGGCAAAAGTCATTTTTGGAGAAAAAAATTTAAGTAATATAATTATTAGTTTATATGTTGTGGACAATTTGAAACCCTATATGATAAACCGCACATGGCAAGTTTACAACTAAACTAATTACTTGAAAGGTTTGCAACAAATCCGCACAAGTTCTCTTGTGTAATTTCCAGAAGGCAGCGAGAGGTCTCAAAAGCCCCAAAGTCCTAACAGAGAAGAGCCACAGGCCACTACTAGCTCACAGCGAACCGCAAATTCCTCAGCAACCGCTGGCTTCTTATCTCAACGGACAACCGACCGACTGTATTTGTTTGCTGGGTGGTGGTAGGATGGTGCGGCACGGTTCGGAAGGAGAAGCCGACCAACAATTCACGAAAGACTGAGGCGAACACGTGCTGAAATATTTATAACACGGATAAATCAAACGCGAATACATTATAATTCCTTTTATTGGCATCGCACCGGTCTTGCCGTTTACGTAGTAATGAGATACTGCTCACATACTTTTCGAGTGCTTGTAAATGCAATTAATTAATTAGTTTGGTGAATGGTTTATCAATTGTCAATTACCTCTATTGCCGACCCGCAAAAGACCGTCTGACTACCTTTTACATTCGGGTAGAAAAACACTATTTACACTTTAGTGCAGTAAAGAACCTTGCTTATAAGGAACTGGTTGCAAACAAGAACGCTGAAAGAATTACAAATCGCTCTAGTAGACATTGCTTTTAATTAGATAAACAATTAATCCGATCAATCAGATCAGCTTTAACAACGATTTTCTTTTCCCTTGCTTACTTGCTTCACTGCAACATGCCTTTTTAATTAATTAACCTAAAATATAGAGCATACTTTAAATACAAACAATCAAAGCAAATTTTCTTTTTTTACCAAATGAATTTTGTTAAATATCTAAGTTATTTTCTACTTATAGTAAAAGTTTCCCCAATTTGACTACGATTTTTGACGTCTTAAGGAAAATTGGAACCAAGTATTAAAAATAATCTATAGAGTATACTTAATAATATTAAGTCACGTTATAAAAATTATAAATATTATCAACAATGTGCGATTAAACATTTCTGTACCGTTTGATTTAAAAATTATTATCATCATATTATAAAAAATTAATGAAAATTTGAGAGGGTGTTAAGAAATTTATGCAATGAGCATACTCTTATCATTATCGTGCTAATTTATATAATTCTATTAATAAACCAATGCCAATTTCGCTCTGTTCTACCGTATTTTGTGGTATTAATTTATTAATATACTTTATTCTGTTCAAATTTTAATTTAATTGTATAAGTATCGACAATTTTCTAATGGTAAAAAAATCTTGTAAAAGTTAAGATATCTTTTAAAAATTAAAAACACAAAAAAATGGAAAACGTAATGTTGATTTGATCATCACTTTTTCAAATAAATACTTTTTTTCAAGCGTATAACAATTTTCATATTATTACATTCATAAGCCTATATAGAAAGACTTCATATTTGTACGGCAATTCAAAAGTCAAATTATTATACACCGCCGTACAATAATGAAAATACATTAAAATTACATAGGAAGAGTGGTTCCATTTATCGCGTTTAGCTCAAAATAAGCAAAGAAAATGTAAACTTATAGGTCACTGAATTCATGCACATATACAGTGTTGGTCATAATTTTTGCAACCATGGAGCACTGTAAAAAAATCTAACTCTAAAATGCCTTTATTGTTCTTTATGAAATTTTGGATAAAAATACTTCAACTTATATCTCAGTTTACGTGTTCGAGGGTTTTTCGAGAAAATATTTGTAAAGCCCTTTTATGAAAAAACGTTCGAAAAATAACTTTTAGCGAAATTTTTTTAAGTAAATAAAAAATATGCTGTTCAAGACCGTATTTTTGTTAGTATACCCTGAAATTTTTGTACAAATCAAATAAATAGCAACGAAGATACAGCGATTCAAAGTCGTCAAAAATTACCACTTTTCAGCAAAATAATCAAAAAGCCCGTGACTAAAACACTATAAAGTCACAGTGTGTATTTAAAATATTACTTTATGTCATAAAAACGTACAATAATGGGAGTTTTAAAAACAAAAAAAGGTTGATAATTGATAATGAAAAATATTTATTTCAAAAAGACTTCGACTCTTATTAAGCTGTACATTTTAAGTAGAAACACCATGTATACAAAAATAAATATGTAAAAACAATCTTCTTTCGAAATTAATTATAATTTACATAAGAATTTTCTGCTGATAAACCTTAATTTTGTATTTTTTCTAAAAAGTTAATTTACTAAATGGACAACATAGGTATATAATTTTTTTACGCTGAAATGTCTAAGTAATTTGTGAATAATTAATTTTATTAATTCCTTTTTCGAAGAAGCTACTAGCACGAGTGTATCAGTTGCGTGACATCGTTGTATTTGCATTACATTTTTCAAGTATGTTAAAAATAGGGAGCATGCTTGATTATATTATAAAAAGGGAGCAATTTACTTAGAGAGCATGGAAATGGATAGACACTTACCATTAGCGTACAACAGTTGCAGTCTGTACTGAATGCCGTTGTTAGTTTTTTGGCCATCGGCTTCCTAAAATAAAACCAATATTTTAATAATATCTTATAAAATTAAAAACCTTATAAAGCAATACAGAAATATAGTTTATTGCGTAAATAACATAAATAATTAGAATAATTTGGGGGTAAAACTGTCGAAATCGGTTTAAAGAAGAATTAATTCAATAGCTCTTAGGATGTGATAAATCTGTTTTATATAACTAGGTATTGAATTTTAACTTCACAGTTGAGTACCTACTAAATAAAATTATAGTAGCCTCTAACACTAGAAGTGAATACATGATTGAAAAGAAAGGAAAGCTAACATTTTGATTTTTATCTAAGAAAGAAAACACAGAGTTATTTATCCTTGCTAGACTAGCAATGCTAGTGTATCTTGGACATGTAGGCCTGTATACAAATAATTTTAAAATATATCTGCTCTTTTCCATAAAAAAATAAAGGTAAACTTTTTTTATTGCAATTTTAAGTAATTTTATTATATTGGCAAATGTCGAAGAAAATATAAGCATTTCTTTTCACAATCGGTGTGATTTCATTTTGAGAGACCAAAACTAGCAGTGCGGAGCTGAAAGAAAGAAAAGGCATAAAATTGGCGAATGGGCAAAGGCATTCGCAGGAATCTGTTGCCATAGCATCCGCTGAGTAAATTGTAAAACGGAGGGAAAGTGAGATGAATAAATACTTCGTGTTTCGACTAGGTAGGAAGTTGTAGACGGGCTGCGAGGGGGCCGGTCGGGGGGTGTAATTGTGTTCGTGGCGATGTAGAAGATTAGGGCGCTTTTCGGGCAGAACATTTATCATGAAACCCAAACCAAAGCAGTGAGCGCCGGTCACAACAGCAACCGTATCATGCAATGACTCCTGAACACTTTAGATTTTATGATAGCATATCGCAAACGATAAGACACCATGTCCTTTTCTCAGACAAATACTAAAAGGACCAATGCTTCTCACCATTAATTTTACAGAACCTCCAGAAACACTAGTTTCGAAAAACTAGAGATGTTTTTATCATTGCTTTTTGTGAAGGTGTGAAAAAACAACAATACCGTTCCAACCATATACATTTGTAAATATTATTATTAATATTATTATATATATACGAGGTGTGTTCAGAAAATATCAAGAATTGTTAAATTTCGCGGGTCAGAGGGTCCGGTTGTCATAAAATTTTCTTTATTATGTTGGTATAAATGCCCCCGAAGTATGATAAAAACTTTAGCTGTTTTCATTGTTTACTTTGTCTGCGGCAGCCGCTAAGGTTGGACGTGTTTTATGAACTCGGCGATTTTCGTTCGTTCTAAAGAAATGGATCAAAGAATTTGTATCCAATTTTGCTTAAAAAATAAAATAAATTCTGTGAAATGTTAACAAATGCCTATAGTTAGTCTGCTATAAGTAAAACAAGAGTTTACAAGTGGTCATAATTTTTTCTGCTTGTTATATATATACCACTCACGATGAGACACTTATATTTTGCTATACAGGATGCGCAAAAAATACTATGGATTTTGCAAAATTAAAAATTGTTAAATATTTTTTTTGAAGGTCTAATATGAAGAGCTTGTAAGGAGAAGCCAAATAAAGTTGTTTCATGTAAGTTGTTGTTATGGTGATATTTGTTATTAAAAATAAAATCAATTGAGGTCCTAACTTAAGTGGCCCTTTTATTTTGTAGAAATTGACTGCTATCTCATTTTGTGATTATAAATCAACGTTGTTGTTTTCAACTGACATGTCTACAATGTCTACAATTATTTGTTAAAAGTTTTAACTTAAAACTAATGTCTTCAATTTTCAATATCAAATATCTTAGTATAAAAAACTCACTTTTTGATTTCTCCTTATTTTGATTTCTCCTTATATTAGTGCTTCAAAAAATATATAAAATCTGTATTTTTGCTGACCCTGTACATCAAAATGGATGTTTCTCTCGTATTTATATAAGAAGCAAAAGGAATTATGAAAAATGACTTTTTCTCGAAAAATTTAAAATAAATATTTTTACAAGTATAGTTAAGTCCATCTGTGGACACATTGTATATCGTTTTAGAGAAAAAATAGTTGTTTTAAAATTCTTTTTTAACCTTCCAAACATAATGCCAAGTTTTCTCATTGAAAGTAAAGAAGTTTGATATATCATATGATGGATGCAGGAGGTGTTGGGGTTAAGTTAGAGTTCCTTATTTAGAAAAATTGACCCCGAAAGTAAACTTATAAATAAGGGAATACATATATATTTTGTAAAGTTGGTACTAACCTGGTCTTTTTCGATGAATCCAATAAAGGCGGTTCTTTCAATTTCAACAGGTTGTCCAGATCTATCATAAAGTGCAACTACGAAATGAAAGAAGTTCGACTTTCTTAAATTACTTGGTGGTTGCTTTTCGAAATGTGCACGACCAACACCAATTCTAGAAAAAAAAATATTTATGAAAAATAAAATATAAGTAATTTTTTCTTAGGTAACTAATTGAGTTTGTTGTTACCATCAAATAATTTTTTAATGTACTAATTAATTCAAAAACATTATTGAGACCATAAAAAGTTAATTGTATCACCACTCCTAAAATAATATTATTAATAGTCATTATATACCCGCGAGATAATTATATAAGCTTATCAACATGAAATCAAGCAATTACATAGATAAGTTCGCCATAATGCCCAGGACAGCTATACAAATTTCAATATTAATGGAATTATTGGAAATTTATTCACAGTTTAACACTTGCCATTTTTGTACATTTTTACTACTTAATTTGCATGATTTTTGAAAAGACATTTAAAATGGTATAAAATCTGTATAATTTGTATTTTTTAAATGACATTTGAAATTTGTCGGTAAACTATGGTAAATAATAAATTGCACCAATTAAATTTATATTATATTTATTGGGGGCGCCATGGGGCCGGTACTGCCGAGCAAAAGTTATCTTTTTTCGCAAACTTCAATTCAAATTCTGCTTGCGCAGAACTTGTTTATTTAATGTCATTATGTCATGTTTTAAAAAAATGTTATGCAAATTTATATTAGATACATTAGTTATTCATAAATCTAGTATCCCTTGAATTTATAAATTTATAAAGAAAAGTATTAAAACTGTCATAATAATATAAGCATCCAATAGAACATTATCTAACAGGAGGAGAAAGCGCTTATTTAAAGCCAAGCTCAGTGTTCGCTGCCGAGGCCTTAGCCGATCTAAGCGAAGCAGTTTATATCCTTTCTCTGCCGTGTTGTATATACAACCTTTTTTCAAGCTTTAATTAATTCTGTACATACCTACTTAATTAGATTAAAATTATTTTTATTATTATTATTGTCAGGTATAATAATTTGACTTTTGAACTGCGTACAAATATGTCTTTCTATAAAGACTTATGAGTGTTATATGCTTAAAAAAAATACATTTATTTATTTTTAAAATAATTTGTTATTTAAGTAATATACAGGGTAACCCGAAAATAGTGTGCAATAATCTGCAAGCAGTTTTTAGGCCCAAAAATAGAAAGAAAACTTTATATGGAAAAAACAGAGCCCCTAAAGGTGGCACACCTGCAGGTTTTAGAAATATTGATAATAATAATCTTCATGAAGATTATTATTATCAATATTTCTAAAACGGCTTAAAATAAAATAATGAGTTTTCTGGAAATATTTGTATTTTTTATTAATATTTCTTGTCAAATTGGAAAAAAAAACATTTTTTTTAATTATTATTTTTATTAAAAAGTACGTATACGTATAAAACTCTAAATTTTTAGCCCCTGTTTAATATACTCGTAAATAAAAATTTTTAATTTTTTTGTTATATTTAAATTCAGCATAAAAAGATATCGCGTTTTAAATACCAAAAGGGCGTACTACAGCAGTTAGATAGGGTTTTGTGCCAAAAGGGCGGATACAAAAATGTTTCATAGCCATTCAACTTAAAATCGTTCAAAACGTCAAGATCTGTAAAAAAAATTGAATTACTAACGCCAAAAGGGCGTATCTCGAGACATGCGCCCTTTTGGCTTTAAGAAAATTTTTTGAATTTTTGTCATAAATTTTAATCATTTTAAAAATTTGAATTTTTTTTTAATTTTGAATAATTGTCAAAATTTGAATTTTTTTCATATCGACAAAAAAGTTTTTCCATAATTTGATTTTTTTATGCTGACGAAAAAAAAATTAATGGGTCATTAATGTATTGCTACACTACTCATTGAATTGTTTAATGAGAACTGAAAATGTTTTACATTAAATTTTTGTTTAATGGGAAATGTATTAGAATTACATTTCCATTAAAAAAAAAAAGACGAATGCATTATTTTTTACATTAGGATTTTTGCAACACTGGTTGCCATTATCCAACCTATGTTTATAGGAATATTTTTTCCTATTTTTGTCGTTATTATAATCATTATTAAAATGATTAATTTTTTAAAATTAAGTGTGTGTAGAGCAAAATTGGCGTAACAAACGATTTTCTGCATTTACCAACGTCATTAACAGCAAGATATAAATTATCGTGTCCATATAATTCACGCAGCTTCGGGGTATATATTAGTTCTCCATCCTACGGACCGGAGCGGAACATTGTATAACCACAAATAGCACTGATTGTCATTGATCCGAACTCATATGCGGCGAACATTTAATGTAACAATTTTAAAACTTTTTTAGACCCTAACGGCTGTATTAACATTATATTTATGCCCTGAAGTACTTAAACCAATAGGTGTGTTTGGTTTTTCTCTTTAATCAAAAATATTTACTCTGAATTTTAGTTTGTTTTTTATTTTTGTAGATAAAAGTGCAATTCTCATTGTTCAGAAAAAACCTTTATTGTTTTTTAAACCAGCTCTTTTTATTTTTAATAAAATAATACGGTTAATAATTATTGATGATTATAATCATATTTACCTGAAATATGTAATTATTAACTTTAATAATTAATTTTGAAAATTCTTTTCTAAACTTTCACTTGTAGGTATTTAATTTTTTATTCATTATACCTAGGTACTAAGCTTCACACCCAAATTTGGTGTTAATAAATAAAGGTGTTAATTAACATAAAAAATACAAATACCTACCTATAGGTAAGTATTTTTTTAAAATAAGATGATAAACTATAGTTTATAATGAATGACCTTAATTATTTGTACTTAAATATAAATGCGTAGAATTAGCTATAGTATACTCTACCATCACTTTGACCATAGAAAGCCCTAGAAACACCTTTACAGGTGCCCTTTGCTCCAGGAGTTAGAGGAAAAAGAAGAAGAAGAAGAAGAAGAAGAAGAAGAAGAAGAAGAAGAAATCTCAAGGTACCATGTAATAAATATTTAAATACAATACATGGTGTTTTTAAAAATATGCACTGATATAGTGGAGATTAGGTAAATATTCCAAATCTAATAGCGGTTATTATGGAAATAAACCAAATAAGTTGATTTTCAACAGATAAAACAAATGTCATTTTAATATTTATTGATGATATAAAATGTATTAATTTTACTGTTATTATATTCTAATAAAATTAAATTTGCAATCATGATTTATAAGCTCAAAATATAAAATTAATATTAATTTTGTCAGCCGTGTTTTACTTTTTTTCAACAGGTTTTCTAAATTATTTATTTTCTAATAAAAATTTTACCTCATACTCTTTACAAGATTATTTTTTAACTTTGTATTTTCCAGAATGTTTTATAAAAGACCTGCTCAAATAAAATTCAGCAAATATTAAATTATGATTAAACACCAAAAGTTTAATAAGAGCATGCAGTTTAAGGTTCGTTTGTATCCGCCAGCCTTCGGCGTTGAGCTTTCGTAGCAAAGTAAATAATAAGTATCTGCAGGAATGCTCAATATGTCATGTTAAAAATTTCAACAAAGTTTACGCTATAAGTTTTTTTTTAATTCAATATTTTTTCACTGAATTATTTATCGGTTTAATTAAAATACATTTTGCAAAGTGAGATTTTAAAAATAAATATTGGATTTTAGACAACGTATACATAAATGTTGTTAATAATTAATGAAACTCAATTTGGCGTAAAATTAAATTAAAAAGCAATGTTTTTAAAAGCGAATAAATTTAATTTATTTTTGTTATGTCGATTTCCTTTATTTTAATATTTTATAGGAATATTTCCAATATGATTTATTTATATAAATCGGGCGAAACATATATTATAATTTATTTATTTAATTAAAGGAAACATATTTTATTATAACCTAATAAATAAAGAATATTGTATTTATCATTTGTAATGGTTAATTAAATCCAGTGCCGTATCTATGATCGTCATTATGTATTAGAATGATAATAAAATGTTAATTGAACACCGCTATTTTTTGTTATATTTTGTTTGCTTGTTTATTCAGCTCTTCAGTAGTTATGACTCTATTTAAATTAATTTTACACTGATTAAGGTAGTTGTCGTGCTGTAAGCATACCTACCATCAGAAAATTTTAAATTTTTGTATACTTATTAAGGACATGACAATACAATTATCCTTAAAATTTGAAGTCGATTGACCATCTATAACCCGAGATAAATTCAATTAAAAATTGGATAATTAACATGGATTGTATACGCTTTTGTAGTTCTGTACCAGTTTATTAGTTATAAAAAAACTAACTGTCAAAAGCTTTCAAAAAACCAAAAGTCTTTTAATGTATTTTTGCTGAGTTTAAAAAGAATAAAAATTTTTGACCGTCCAATTGTTTATAAATAACCGTTTAAAGTTCAACAATTTGTAAAAAGTATACATCACTAGTGTCAGATAAAAACAACTTGGCAACGCTGTACGCAGTAAATTCAAACAGACTGATTTAGTCTACAATATATCTATTGGTTGAGCATAAGCAACGTTGCCGGATTAAAACTTATGAAAATATTTGAAAGTATTACGTGAAGGTAACGTCTCCAGGGTACAGTCTTGCGAAAAAATTATGAATCACTTAGCTACAAGCTCGTATACTTTTACTGAAAATTTTTGACAATATTGTACCACGACAACTACCTTAAATCATAAATTTTAGATTTTAAATTTAATCTTTAAATGATAAAACAAAAATATGTAGAATATATTTTGCTTACCCATTTTGGTCTGGACCGGTGGACTGCATCCAGGACCTGGCTGTAGAAAGGGGTTCCTCCTTAAGGCTGGGCCCACGTGGCTGGTGATGGTGATGCAGTCCGGTAGCATCTTGGTGATGGTGCAGTCCAAACATGAGTCCGGGGCCAGTTACTCTGGTGGTACCCGTACCAGGGGGATACAGTTTTCGGCCCCAGGCCGCTGTGACCGGGTCCAGTTCAGGCGCTGGCAAAGAGAGCGCCGGCCAGGGAGACGCCGTCGGATAACCGCGCTCCGCGGGGATGCTCTCGTCGGACCGCGTCTTGGCTGATGTTTGAGACAGCAGGTCAAGTCTTTCGCGGCTTCACACTAAACCGCACCACTCGACCGCAACAACAACAAAGTTTTCGGTGTGTATGTCTCTCTCGTAAAAAGCGTCACAAAAACAACAACACAACTTTAACACTCATAACAGTTTCGTCCCGATGGATGAAAAAGATAAATTGTTAGTTGCTTGGTGTTTCTCGCGGGAGAAGTTTGATGCGCGAGCCCAACAAGCGGATAAACACGACTGGGACGTTGATAAGCATCGAATGGTCTGCTGGCAATTTGACGGCGACCTCTCGAGGGTGGAGTGGTGGATGTTGTGTTTCTCGCAAATATTGCAGGCAGGCAAGTTCGAGGCGGACGGGTGAGTTACCTCCCCAGGGCTGCCCTGCCCCACCTCCAGAGAATCCGGAACGACGCTCGGCGTCAGTAACGTCTACTGAGGGTGGAAGGCGGCTCTAGAGGTTCAACCCTCACGAGCCACGCCAATCATCTGGGATAGCGGGAAAGCGGTTTGCCCAATAAGACGCGCGGAACGTCACATTAGGTTACACCCTACGTCGCTATAGCTTTATTATCAGTTATATTTAATGGGTAGGGATGGAGACTTATGGGTCGGCGCGGTGCGGGACGCAGCCTTTCCTCTTGTGCTGGTCTCTTGTGGCAAACGCTGCACACTACAGTTTAGCGAGCGCAATGCTTTCCTCCTCTCTCGCTACGATGTAATCCCACCTGTTTCAAAGCGCCACACCGTTTTCGGTAACTAAAGCACAGCCTACTCCGATCTAAACGCACGCTTTTCTCTTTACCGCCCAATTACTACATTTCAAATTTTCACATATACATAAGTATTATATATATAATCATGATCAGGGCCGGATTTAGGACGGGGCCAGCGGGGCCACGGCCCCAGGGCCCCCACCATTTAGGGGCCCCCACCAATGCAATATGTAGCTTTTTAATGAAACGAATATGAAAAAAATTAGCGGATTTTTTATCGCTTATTCGTTTGCAAATCAGGATGTAAACTATCACACTCAAAGTTTTGGCGCGCGAACACGTTTTTATGTAGTCTATAGTCATAAGTTATGACTCAAAACAATTGCTCCTTTAGTGCTTTTCGTAACGTTTTTGTAAATACAGGCAAACAGTCAATTACTTATAATCTAATATTAAAGTCCCAGATTTTTATTGGTACATTGGAGTGTTGTGGAATATTTTCCGGTGTTTCCGAAATAATGTTTCGTGCTTTTCTTTGGACAAAACATTCCCTGCTGAAAAAAACTGATCGAAAATGGATCGAGTTTAAATCTCGATCCTTTTTGATCATTTTTGATAAGGATTTTGTCTCCTGTTTTCGTGATCAAAAAGGATCGAGTTTCGATCCTGTTTTCTGGATCAAATAGGATCGAGTTTCGATCCTTTTTGATCACGAAAACAGGATCGAAACTCGATCCTTTTTGATCACGAAAACAGGATCGAAACTCGATCCTTTTTCGATCATTTTTGATAAGGATTTTGTCTCCTGTTTTCGTGATCAAAAAGGATCGAGTTTCGATCCTGTTTTCTGGATCAAATAGGATCGAGTTTCGATCCTTTTTGATCACGAAAACAGGATCGAAACTCGATCCTTTTTCGATCATTTTTCATAAGGTTTCCATAATTAATTCTAAAATAAAAGATACAATTTACAAAACTTGAAAACTTTATTGGGCACTTTGTATTTCAAAAAAATCGGATGACGACGACGATGATGATGAAATTCGTAATTATAATAATAACAGTCATATATTTTATAAAATAATATTCACAACAATAATTCCGTGGTTTCGGGGAATAAGGGGATAAGTCATTTTTGGGTCTCTCTTTTCAGACTACTGTCATAAGGTAAGAGTATGAAAAGTTGTATATAGTACTACTTTTACTTATTATGGAAACCTTATGAAAAATGATCGAAAAAGGATCGAGTTTCGATCCTGTTTTCGTGATCAAAAAGGATCGAGTTTCGATCCTGTTTTTAGGATTAAATAGGATCGAGGTTCGATATCGTTTTTGATCACGAAAACAGGATTGAAACTCGATCCTTTTTTGATCATTTTTCATAAGGTTTCCATTATTAATTCTAAAATAAAAGATACAATTTACAAAACATGAAAAATTTATTGGACATTTTTGTTTTCAAAAATATCGGATGACGATGGTGATGAAATTTTTATCCTTTTTCTAAAACAAAAAAAAAGTGTCCCTTTAGGGAATATATTTATATTACTATTTTAATATTGTCTTTTTAACTTTCGCAAAATAATCTTGCAAATTTTCATTCATACCTTTTTTCCTTCGGCGATTTTTCAATTTTTTTTTTTGATTTGTATTTTCGTTTTGCTTTAGCTCATATATTGTGGCGTACTTTTTTTCTTTATATTTTGATGTGGCCCCATTGCACGCCAATGTTGTATCAAATTTTAACAATTTTATTTTTCAAAAATAGGGCTTTCATATGAAAGGTATGTATACAAAATTATGATTAATTTTATCATTTTCATAGAAGATATGACGAAAAAACGTTTTTTCTTTGTCAACTTATGTGTGATATTTTTCTGAATTAGGATAATGGGAGGAACATTTTTCCCTGGTAGGGAACTGAATCACCCTGTATAACTATATACAAGACTAAAAATTAATTATTTACTTGCAAAAAAAGAAACAACGCATTGCGCAGTTGCTCCCTCACGTTCAATAAAGTATTTCTTGTTTCGAGAGAAAGTTTTTGCATCGAAATTTGAAATTTCCGACAGCAACACCCTTTTTTTGTGCCCCGTGTCGCAAAATTTAACAAAAGCACATGGTCCATCAGCGGTTAAATTAATTGACATCTTGCTATCTTGTTGTCTTTAAATTTACCTATAACAAATAAATTCATAGTAAAATTTGTATACATAACCTTACTTTTCAGGAGCCGAAAAAACAAAATTCATAAAAAATTGCCGCCACTCGGAAATCATAAGTTTTTTTTGTTTGATGGCAATCAGTACTTTTCATCGAATTTTTAATTATTATAGTAAAGAAAAACCCACAGTAAAACCGTAAAATCGATAACAAAAAACACTAACCAACATGACAAGCACGTGCACAGATTATAGACACATTACAGACAGGGTTGCCAGATGATATTTTTTTATTTCCCCATATTTTAAAAAAAAAAATCCCTAGATTTCCCTAGACAAGTATGTCAAGATTTTATTTTATTGGAACTTTTTTTAATTTAAATATATCGATGGCCTAGGCGCAATACCTCGTATCATTAATTAATCATCATAAGGTAGCGCATGAAAAGTAGTACATAATACTACTTTTTCTTATAATAAGGAAATGTAATTATAATTACGAATTTCATCATCATCATCGTTCTCATCCGATCTTTTTGAAAGTGCCCAATAAAGTTTTCATGTTTTGAAAATTGTATCTTTTATTTTAGAATTAATTATGGAAACATTATGGAAAATGATCGAAAAAGGATCGAGTTTCGATCCTGTTTTCGTTATCAAAAAGGATCGAAACTCGATCCTATTTGATCATGAAAACAGGATCGAAACGATCCTTTTTGACCACGAAAACATTATCAAAAATGTTCGAAAAAGGATCGAGTTTCGATCGTGTTTTTATGATCAAATAGGATCGACTTTGAAATCTGATCGAGAATGATAAAAAAGGATCGAGAATTTCAAGAACCTAGTAGTCGATCATATTTGATCATGAAAACACGATCGAGTTTCGATAATATGTTATCAAAACTCAATCGTGTTTTCATGATCAAATAGGATCGACTTCGAAATCTGATCAAATATGATAAAAAAGGATTGAAACTCGATCGTGTTTTTATGATCAAATAGGATCGACTGCGAAATCTGATCGAAAATGATAAAAAAGGATCGAGAATTTCTAGAACCTCATTAAATATGATAAAAAAGGATCGAGAATTTTCTGGACCATGATCAAATATGATAAAAAAAGATCGAGTTTCGATCAGTTTTTTTCAGCAGGGTTGTTATTGATGATTTTGTATGAAAAACAGACAAATAATACGACTTTTGATGCACTTTTTTTCAGTTTGCGGTAAGTATTAAAAATACAAACAAATCATAGATCAATTTATATTTTACTTCAGTAAAATATATATAAGGTTATGTTCGTATTATTCAAAATATATAAAATATAAAGTAGGTATATAAAAACACTTTCATTCACAATTCTATTCTACTATCTACGTTTTTATAGTTTTGCATACGAATTAATAATTTCTTAGACTTGGGTAAAATGTATATGGTTATGTTCGTATTATTCAAAATTTACACGGTAATTCAGACTTGTGGTGACAAAAGCTCAGGGGAAATTCCTCTCATCAAAATATGAAAAAAAGTTCCTATAAACACGTGTCCGAAAATTAGTTTTTTATTTATAGCTTAAAAACGCTTTGGCCGATTTTATTAAAAATTTATATGGTTTATTAAATTATTAAATGATTCAAGGATAATAAAAAATCACGTAAACTTCCTCTAGCTTAAAAATTTACCATGAGTTTTAAAGTGTCAATTTTTTTTAGAAATATTGAGGGCCCCCACCAAATGTCGGCCCCAGGGCCTCAAAACTCTTAATCCGGCCCTGATCATGATTCATGAACAATTACTTACACAGTTTTTTATTAAAAAGTACAATTTTTACACATCAAGTCTTCAAGAATGATTTAGATAAGGATATTAATACCATATTTTTACATTAGTATAAGAAACAAATTAAAATAACCATATTAAATATATAATTGTGAACATGTAGTTTTTATATTTTATTTTAAATATTTCCTCATTTTAGCGCAAGGTTATTTAGTTAACAGGTTATTTACAAAAAACATTGCATCTTATCCTACCAAATTTCAACCATCGCTCCCCTCATGAATCATGATTCACAATCTACTTTCTTCCACTATTATATTTAATGCTTTTTTACTAAAAATCTTACTTACAACATGCCTAAATGGATTTTTTTAGATCGATATACCTAGGTAAATATTTAAAAATATATCGATTTATATTTTTGAATATATCGAAATTTTTAAATATGTATACAAATCGTCACCTGAGATTTATAGTGTTCTATCTGCATTTATTTTTAAATTGAGGTTAGTCTTGTTTTAAGTCTTAGAGATGCATATTGTTCTATCTATATATAATTGGGGTAGAAATTGTAGGTACAGTTTAAGGCTTAAACTGTACAATTTCTACCCCAATTACATATATATATATAGATAGAACAATATGCATCTTTAAGACTTAAAACAGGACTAACCTCAATTTAAAAAAAATGCAGATAGATTCTATCTGATAGAACAATATAGGTAATTCTCAGGTGACGAAATGTTATTTTTTATTAATAATTATTGTGTTTTGCATTTTTATAGGCTGCTTATTCCTGTCTTTAAGTAGATTTATTTAAAAAAAAAAATTGTTATAGCCTTAGTTGCAACATTTAATATTAAATAGACCTTTTTGTTAATATACCCAGACAGCAATATGACGTCTTAATTAAGTCTGCATAAGCTCTATTTTATGATTTGGACGTCAAAACATCAGAAAGAAGTTTTTAAGAATTTCTTAAGACTTCGAATGCGCCACCTATTGA